TGACTGTGAGCTTATAAATCAATAATCAAGGTCAGTTAAAAAAAAAACTCAAGAAATAAAAAAAGAAAAATGGCGATTAATATTGTACTTTAGTATTATTACGTAATAAAGTATATAAGGCCGCAAAAAAAAGAAAAAAAAAGAGGATATAAAGCCCATCCACAAAACATAAAATAGAAAATAGTCCACTCCGGTCACTTCCAACATGTACTCCAGCTGTTTATATATGTATGTTCATCTTTAGCAGGTTCGTTTGCCTTAGGAGATACCAGAAGCAGTAGGAATGCCGGAGTGGAGAGATATCGACGATCTGCCGAAGAACGCCGCCAACCATACGGCGTTGACACCGCTGTGGTTCTTAGAAAGGGCAGCAACGGTTCATCCCACCAGAAAGTCGCTGGTCCATGGATCTTTGACTTACACGTGGCGGCAAACTTACCAGCGCTGCCGCCGATTGGCCTCCGCTCTCTCCAAACGCTCCATCGGACCCGGCAGCACGGTAATAAGTAGTATCAATAATGGTGTAATATTGTCTATATATTTCGTAATTGCAACTTTAGCCTGTCCTGTGTTTGGTTACTGAGAAAACTGCGGGAAATGAAGAGAATCGAAATTGAATTTTTTTGTTTTTTTTACTTAGCCAAGCTGTTATTTTTTTCTCCTTATTTTTCCAAATTTAAATTTCGAAGTCTTACAGAGAGGATGAAGCCTCGTGAATTTAATGTCCTATTATATATTTTTTTTCTTGCTAATTTAGTTATAGAAGAACATTTCTCATTCCTTTGCTACATTTGATCTGCTAGAGATATTGATCTGATGTTGTAAATATCACCAGAAGCAATGCTAATCGAATCTGTACAATACTGATTTGTAATTGATTTTGTGAGATTTGAGAATCATGAATTTACTTGGTTAGTCTTTAGCTCTGTAATATGTTCTTCAATTGTTATAATTGCTTTGAATTTTAGGGTTATGGAACTTTTAAGAGTTTTATTACTTCTAGTTCTTTCTATTACTTATTTTTTTGTGGATTGATTATACTGGCAGGTAGCAACAATTGCACCAAATGTCCCTGTTATATATGAAGCTCATTTTGGAATTCCAATGTCTGGTGCTGTAGTAAACACTGTCAATATCCGCCTAAATGCTCCAACCATTGCTTTCCTTCTTGTTCATTCATCATCTGCAATTGTCATTGTGGACCAAGAGTTTTTCACTTTGGCGGAGGAAGCTCTGAAAATCATTGAGGAGAAGAGCAAAGGAAAATTTAAGCCTCCTCTTTTGATTGTTGTAGCTGATGAAAGCTGTGATCCTAGATCATTGAGATATGCTTTGAGTAAAGGAGCCATTGAGTATGAGAAGTTCTTAGAAAGTGGTGATCCTGAGTTTGCTTGGGAGCCACCAGAGGATGAGTGGCAAAGTATTGCCTTGGGTTATACTTCTGGCACAACAGCTAGCCCTAAGGGGGTGGTATTGAGTCACCGTGGAGCATATGTCATGTCTTTAAGTGGTGCTCTTATATGGGGAATGAATGAAGGAGCTGTTTACTTGTGGACTCTACCCATGTTCCATTGCAATGGGTGGTGTTACACCTGGACTTTGGCAGCACTTTCTGGGACAAGCATATGCCTACGGCAGGTAAATAAATGGGAATAAATAATAAATGCCTTCTCCTTGATTATGTGAAACAAATTAGCTTATCTCTATATAAAATTGGTCTCTGCTTGATCCTTATTAATCTTGCTCTACTTGTAAGCGTGATGCAACTGCTATAATGTACCCTAAAGATTGGTAATCTATAGTCCATTAGTCCTTTAGCATGCATGTCTCTGGAAATGTACTAGAGGCCCCGCTTTGTTTGATATTGCTTGAGATATACAATTGCTATTACTGTGTTTTTGTGTTTCTACAGGTAACAGCAAAGGGAGTCTATTCAAGCATAGCAAAGTATGGTGTGACTCACTTCTGCGCTGCCCCTGTAGTACTCAACACCATAGTCAATGCCTCTCCAGAGGACACAATTCTTCCTCTCCCCCATGTTGTAGATGTAATGACAGCTGGTGCTGCCCCACCCCCATCGGTTCTCTTAGAAATGACCAAAAAGGGCTTCCGTGTCACCCACACTTATGGTCTCTCAGAAACCTATGGTCCTTCTACAGTTTGTGCATGGAAGCCTGAATGGGACTCACTTCCTCCTGACGCCCAAGCTCGTCTCAAGGCACGCCAGGGTGTCCGATACATTGGCTTGGAAGGCCTAGAAGTCATCAACACCCAAAATGATCAGCCTGTTCCTGCTGATGGAAAAACTGTTGGAGAAATAGTGATGCGTGGTAATGCTGTGATGAAAGGCTACTTAAAAAACCCAAAAGCCAATGAGGAAACATTTGCAAATGGGTGGTTTCACTCTGGGGATCTTGGTGTGAAGCATCCTGATGGGTATATAGAAATAAAAGACAGATCAAAGGACATTATCATATCTGGAGGTGAAAACATCAGCAGTGTGGAGATAGAAAACTATCTTTACTCACATCCTGCAATATTGGAGGCATCAGTGGTGGCAAGGCCAGATGAGCGTTGGGGAGAGTCACCCTGTGCTTTTGTGACCTTGAAGCCAGGGGTGGATAAATCTGATGAACGGCGCTTAGCTGAGGATATAATGAAGTTCTGCAGGTCAAAGATGCCTGCTTACTGGGTTCCAAAATCAGTGGTGTTTGGACCACTACCAAAGACGGCCACCGGTAAGATCCAGAAGCATGTTCTAAGAGCCAAGGCAAAAGAAATTGGACCTGTCAAGAAGAGTAAGTTATAAGTTGGCATTGTAATGTTTCATATAAAAGCAGGAGAATATTACCAAAAAATAAATAAAATAAAATAAAAGCAGGAGAAAGGCGGTTTAGCTTATTGTTGTTACAGGGTGCGTATACAATATTTATCTGTTGGAAATGGATGTGGTTATTGCTACTATCAATATTGTTAAGGCTATCAAATTTTTTATTTTTTTTATTAATTAGTGTTTAAAGGTAACAGTTTGTTGATTGATTTTAATTTTTTAATTAATAAATTTCAATTATATTAATAATTAATAATTATTGTTATTAGTTAATTTTTATCAATTAAATTAAATAGAATTAGTATTTTTGAAGACAATAGGTTATAATTTTGGTGGTTATAAATATATCTGATATCACTAATTATTCATAAGGGGTAAACTTTTTTTTTTTTTTGAATATTGAGGGTGGAACTTAAATTTCACACTTTCTAATTTTAACATCAGAAACCTCTGATAAGAGAATGGTGATCACTAAGCCACTAACAAGGTATTATCATTTGTAAAGAGTAATTATCCAAACAATTAGTAAAAATTCATATTTTTACCAATACAGCTAGCGTTTGAACCCTCATTCCCCTTCCCCACGAGGCCTCAACCAGTTGGCCTATCTCTTATTCTCTTTCAACTCAAAATCTTTCTCCAGTGCCCTATTCTTTTAGTGAAGTAGGGTTCTCCAGGATTCATCTTTGTTGAATTAGTTTCATTTCTTTGGTCTTCCATGGTACTATTGGGCTTGATATTATTTGGACTACTTGAAGTTTAAATTGGACAAACTAGTTGGAGGCTTGGAGGGTTGGACCTTGGAGCCTCAATCAAGTTTCCTAACATAACCTTCATATGCCTGGAAAACGAGATTGGTCCGCAGTACGTGAGCGTTGAGCAAAGACTAGAAAAGTCCAAATAAGATGCCTGTGACTTAACTTGAGAATGACCCTCGTGTGAGCGCTAGTGATTAGGTCAATTCGCCTGCCTTAAAGAACAAATTTAAAACCCTCAATTAATTTTAAA